TCAATGTTTCGAGCCAAGGAAATCGTTCTCTGTGGCCAAATGAGGCACGGGTCGCGTCCACCGTATCTCTGCTTGCGGAACACAGGCCACTGCCCCTGGTGTGTCGGTAACTGAGTGAGCTGAGGGTGGCCCGACAAAAACGCACGACTCCAAGGTGGTTGAGGTATCCTTTTATCTCATACCACCTAGGATGCTGCTCGGCTCGTGTGAGAATCATTCTGGGGTTACAATTCTACGAGTAGTATCAAAGCGTCACGCCGTGTGCTGAGATCATGCCCGTTTTACTCATCGGCGTGCGAACTGGGGCCCCAGCTCGGATGCACACACGTCAGAGCTTGCAGGCTCATGAATACACGACGGATACACGTGAGGACTTGCAGGTTTCCGGTGCTCTTGGGCCACCACTGTGGTAACGGCCTAGTTCTTGAGATGATCAATCGCAGTGTGTTGCGTCCCTCAAACCCACAGCCACAGTGCCTGAGCCTTCCAGTCAGGGCAAAGAGCAACATTTGCGTGGTGATAGGGTTTTGATGGCCGCAATGCCGCTGCAACGGGGTTGGGGTGCCGACAACTACACAGTTTTGTGTGGCGATGACACCCCGATCACTAATGGGGTCGCAGATTACACCAGTGCCGTCTTGCCATGTATGTCTGCTGGAAGCAAGGACAACAATTGAAGCATTGGTGCACATGAGTGTGCAGGTAATTGTAAGTGTCAGCTGGCAGCGAGGCATTGAGTGGGTGCTGCTCCGAGCACCACTCCCGCTCCAGCGCGTGAATGGGAGATGACAGGGGGAGAGGCAGGGGCGTCAGCAGGCGAGGACGATGGGGACGATGTGGAGGCTTCTGCAGAGGACAGCAGCGAAGAAGATAGGGAGGGACCTGGTGAGTACGAGCAGGTGCGCTCGCTGCGGCCGTACGCGTACGGCGATCCGGCATCTGTCACCCAGGGTGTGCTGCGCTGTTGATGCATGCGTGGAGGGCGCGGCGATTGCAGCGCAGCTGGCCCTGCCATGCATGCACGGCTCTGAGCGTCCTTATACACAGCTTTCATCAAGCGCAAACCTGTCTTCGAAGCGCCCACCATGCGGCGTGCGGCGCGCAAGCGAAGCAGCTTGGCTCTGCAATAGGCAGCTTGGCTCTGCAATAAGCAGCTTGGCTCTGCAATAAGCAGCTTGGCCAGGCATTTGGTGTTTTAGGACACGTGCGTCTAGGCCAAGCAGCCAAAAAGAGCTGTAACCTGGTGTGCAGCGCTGCCTTTCGATCTGTCGCGCCCAGCCAGCGCCCCAGCCTGAGGGCAATGGGCGCCCGGACTGGTCACAGCTGTCACGGCGTAGATGGTGCATGCACGCCACATCCCCCCCCCCCAGCACTGACACGCGGGTGCACGAGCAGGCGGCCTGTGAGTCTGTGCCCAATGTATGCTAAACTGGGAGGAAACCGGGCAACCAAAACGCACTGAACAAAGCACTTGCAACGGTGCGCTGTGCCAGGGGCGCGAGCGAGTGCTTAGCGCCGATCGGTCCTGCGGGCCCCTGGGCGTGATCAATGGTGCCTCTTGCATGGTGTGTGACGCATGCTCGGACCCTCGGCAGTGGGGCGGGCCCATTGTTGTCACAACAAGCAAACAAGGCGCTCTACGAAGAAGTCCAACGCGGCAAAGAAGTCCAGCGCTCGGCGCCCGTTGAGTGGGGGGTGCAGGCCCAGCTCAACCTGCAGCGGTCCTGGGTTTTGTGCTGTCCCATTGCCTTCGTTCTGCCGCTGAGCCGTCAAGTTCAGGTGCGGGGTGCCACCCCTCTGCAGTGCAGGCTGGCCGCAAGGCGTGCGGGCCGGAAACGTGCTACTGATGCCGCGCCTCCTTTGCCCGTGCGTCAACAGTATGTTCGACATACATTCATATGGCGAAATTCTATTTCTTACGTTGCCGACAGTCAACGACACGCCTACACGCCAGCAGCCCCCGTGGCCCCCAGCCAAGGCAGTGGTCATGCCGCAAAACGCTAAGCTTCGTTCGGCCCAACGACACGCCTCGCACAGCGACGCTGCAAGGCAGCCTGACGAGGCGGCCCGCCTCATCCCCGTCAAGGAGGGCAGGGCAGCGGCCATGCACACCGCGCTGATGAAGGCGCGCCGCGCTGCCAAGAAAGCGGGCACTTTTGTGCTGTGAGTGCTAGGGGACGTGCTGGCCGGCGGCCCCCACCGCCGCCGCCGCGTACGCGGCAGCGGCGGCCCTGGGGGCGACAGCTGCGGCGGGGGCGACGGCGGCTGCGGCGGCGGCGGCGGCGGCGGCGGTTGCGGTGATGGCGGCGGCGGCGGCGGCGGTGGCGGACCCCGACAGAGCGGGGCGCCGACCTTGGCAATGATCAAGGATTGAAGTAGCCGTGTGAAATAAAGTGCAGGGGTCTTGCGCACCAGGGAATTCAAACACCAACCCAAACCTGATAACACTGCGCCTGCTGACATTGTTGACATGCACCAGGACCAAGCAGAATTTGATCCTGAAAGCACTGAAGCCGCACCACCGGCCATTGCTGAGGAAGGGGAGATTTCACCCACCGCATTGCCTCATGAAGGGAAACAATGCATTGACGGCCAGTGGTGATCGTACACGCGGCCTGCTGGCCGGCCCGCCGAGCTCCCCTGCTGTGTTTGCGTGTGCTGCCAATGCCCAGGTGTTCGCCTAGGTGACAGCGACGTTGTGCCTGTGTAGACAAAATCGCTCTGGTGGCCACGTGAAGGCCGGTGCCTTGCGCAACACTGGCGCATGTGCGTTCGCAGGGTTGTTCCCTTGTTGCCGTTGTCACTTGCAATCAATTGCAAGAAAACAATGTACTTTTGTTACATGAAATTCAAAATAGTAGAATGTGTCGGCCTAGTTTCATATTTGGCAGTGCTGGAGGCCCTCCCGGGCAAACCCGCACGCAACGCCGTTGACCTGCATTGACTGGACTGGGCGCCCGCTGCCCAGGGGCGCTGGCCGGGCGCGACAACGGTGGATCTGCGCGGCATTACGGGTGGAGCGGCACGGAAAGCAGCTGCGAGCTCTGATGGGCTTCCCCATCTGCTGACCTGATGCAACCCTGCCGATACCGGTTTTGTGCAATGAGCACACAGTTGATCATTGGTGCTCTGGTCAACCCCCACCCCCTTGGGAGCAGAGATTCGCCAGCTGGCCAGGCGCGCGCCAAACAGACTCTGCACGCGTAAAGGTGCACTGTGAGAACCCATGAAAAGTGCATGTGTCCAAGGTCTGAAGCAGCACGTACGGTATGGCTTCACGCCCAATGTTGGAATGCACAGCACCGCAGCGCAACAGAGGCAAAAGAGAAGTTGGCAGCCGATTTCCGGTCAAGCGAAGCGATCGCAAGACCACGCATCCTGGGGGCTCAAGCTACTGTTGAACTGTTGGCGCCAATGGGGTCAGCTCGCGCCGCTGTGCTCATGCGCGCCGACTGGATGATGCGACGGGTATCGGTGACGCAGCATGGGTGACGAGTGAGAATTGCTCAAACGCTCTGCGCTTTAATACGTGCGCAGCTACAATCACAATCGCAGAGTTCCAAGGTTTATTATTGCGTGCGCCGCGGCAAGGACGGTCGTCAGCGGTCTTTCTTGAAAACGTTCCGCGGCAGCAACACCGGAGTCTGGTTGCAATGGGAGGTCGTCATTCCGCACCGCAGGCAGCGCCTGCCGCGCCTGCGCCCACCACAGCGGCGCCCGGCGCGCCGCCCGCAGCGCCGCCGCCCAATGTGCCACCGCCGACCGTAGGGTGAGCGTCGGTCGCGATGCGCGCGGCGCGACGCGCACCTGTTGCTGATGCGGGCGTGGTGATGACCTTGTGCGACAATGGAGCGCATGGAATGTCCGAAACTTGGCATCAGCGTGCTCACAAGCTCTGGGGTCATGCTGCCTCACTGCCCGCCAGCTGGGGCGCCGCAGCAGCTGCGAGCCCACTGCCACTCCTTGCCGCAGCACGGCCTCACCCCTGCCCTCCCCTTCCCTCTTCCTCATGTGCCCACCCCTCCTCACCAACACGCACCTCCCCATTTAAGTTACATAATCCTGACCGAGATCCTGTTCGCGCTGTCTGTTGGGCTGCCGATCGGCATGCTGGCCATTGTGGACCAGCACCTGACCTCCAAGCCCTTCACCTACACAGGTGCGCGGGCGAGGCGCAAACAGCCGGTGGCAGGCAGGCAGGTTGCAATGTCGCATTGTCTTACAGGAAAAGGAGGCGAAACCATGCCCCTGCACCGCCGGCCGCCTGCTTTCGCTGGGTACAGCCATGCGCGAGCTGGCGCGCGTGCAATGCAAGCCACGTGTGCGTCGGCAAAGGGCTCAGAGCGTGCCTGTGGGGCAGCGGAGGCGCTGCGCAGGGCGGCGCTTGCGTTTGCCGCAGCACCAGCAAGCGCGTCGAGCCGCTGCACTCGCGGCCCCCTCTCCTGGTCGCCCGCAGGCACGGAGCTGCCCGCGGCATATCAGAATCGGACGTTCAACATCGAATTGTGAGGGCAACCTAGCACGCGGGTGGCCGACAGGGACGTCATCACCGCGGCCGGCGTCCGAAGCCGGCCCAGACGCTGCGCGCTTGACAGGCCACCCCCTGATGCCTCGCATGAGCTCACGCCCTTGAACCTTAAGCAGCAGGCGGCACGATCACATAATTTCGGACGGCCTCAGAGCTGCTGTATCCAACTGCCTTCCATCTACGAGCGGCAACGAGCGGCACCCACGATCTGAGGGTTCAAATTCTATCTGCCTCCCCCGCCCCCCCCCAGCTGCCAGTGGGCCCCCTACACATTCGAGAACAGCCGCGACCAGGCGCCCGCCGGCGCGCGCTGCAACCTGTCATACGCTGCGCCGGCCGCG